TTTGTGTACAAGCTGTTTAGATTGTCAAAAAGCCTGTGTTTTTAGGGTTATTAACTAAGTTCGTGTACTCAGACCAGGTTTTTGCAATACATATTTTGTGGGTCAGAAGATAAAAAGTTTGGGAACCACTGGTTTACAGCACACGCGATTTCTGGTTAGCTTCTTAGCTTAGCCTCCTTCACACCGACAACACACACATGCTTCAGCAGAGGCCACGCCTCCTGCAAGAAATCGATTCTCTATGCATCAAGTCCAGACCCTCTGTACGAAGCAAAGTGAAGGACGGGGTCTGGTTTTAACCAGGCTAGTTCTCAGCCAGTCCTGCCTGATAACCACCTTGATCTACCTGGATACCCACCTGCTCTTCTGGTTCTGGGTCACTCTGCCTGAAGTTTAGKACTTGAAAGTTTGGACGCCTCTCCTCGCTGTGCCATTCCCAGATACCTGTAAGTAAAATAATTTAAATACTATTGCTACAACCATTACAACTTGACCTGGCTTCACACTCTTTCAGGCCCGGATCCTGGTCTCACCTGTAAATAAAATTCACTCACCTTTGTATTTAGTCTATGAGTCGAGTTACTTGGTGCTGCTCAATTTTGAGACACTTTCTGGTTCGTGTCACAGCAGAATGGATCTTATATCTGATGGTTGTAGAGACAAGTACTGAGATAATGATAGTTACAGTATAGTATAAGCAGCAGCCATAACGATGGTGGATTTTTGGTCAGAAATGACAAGATTTCAGTCTGTCCACTCTGCTCGCTTTTCTTTTATATCCTGCAGCTCCTCCTGCAGGGCGAGAGGTGGTTGTGCCGTTCTTGAAGCTTCCAGCAGATGATTCTGTGGGTTCTGGTGGATGGGCCGAACAGACTCCACAAGCGGGATGTGTCAAAACYACAACAAAAAAAACTTTTTTGAATCTTTGGTGGTGATCGACTGGACTGGATGGTGACTCGAGTACAAAGTGAAGATGCAATTGATGGTAATGATTGCGTTGAGGTGAATGGGGGAGGTGGGGAGAAATAGGCGACAAGGGCAAAGTTGGGCAGGTAACTCAAAACAGTTTGGAGGAAATTKGCTCAGATGAGGGAAGTGGAAAAACTAGTTTGTAAAAGGTCTGTGGGAGAAGTGTTTAAAATAATGCTTAAATTCCAAGGAGAGGATAAAAATTAAAGCTTTTAAAACATTAAAATGAATCACAGTGCTCAATCTTTTATGGAATATAAAACTCCAAATTATTGTAAGAAAGATAATATTAGAGGGTTTTGTAGTTCAGTTGGAAGAGAAACTGAAATAAGTAAAGTTTGCTTGATGATGATGGAATAAGACTGGTYATCCAGTTTTACATGATGGAGAAATAATTGAAAATATAAATGGGGACAAAGCAGAAATGATAGCTAAAATGTTAGTTACAGTTCACAGTATAAGCAATATCAGTGAAGAGGAATAGATCGTTATTAGAAGGAGAGGATTGTGAAAATATTTAAATATACCCTTCAATAAAATTGAGTTAAATCAAGTACTTTAAATCTGTGAAACACCGGGAAATGATCAGGGGTCAGATTTATAAAGCTTGTGTACGCACAAAATGAGCCCAGGAACTTGTGCACGCCACTTTTCACACAAAGGTTGTGATTTATAAAATCCAAACTTGATGTGAAAATGCAGTCCCTCCCTCAGCCAGCTCTGACCCAGGTGGACATTCATTTTGGAGACAGGAAGCTGGAGACGGATGAAGTGAGAAATTATAGCAACACAGCGTAATGATCACTGTRAGATATTTAATTTCACTACATAATCAAACTTTTGATTTTATATCGACTTTACATATTTTATTTGTGCTTCTGCTGGGGCCTCGTGCATAAAGGAGTGCGCAGGAAAAAAATATACATTAAATGGAGAATGAGTGAGAAAACTCTCTAAATAATTAGTGGGGTGTAAAAAATGAGTTTGCAACTTGCAAAGGTGTGTGTGGGTGTTGGTGTGTGCGCGCGTGTGTGAAGCTGCTGTCTTCAGCGGCGCATGAGGCTGGGAGACATTTCCACATCTTTATTAAATAACTGTAAACACAGAGAAATGAGGTGTTAAAACCGGGTCTTCTCAGCTCTGCAAACTGTGTTGTTGCTCCTGAAGAGAGAAACTCTGAAACAGGCTGGTTGAACAGCAAGAATCTTTATTGTGCAGTCCAGGAGATTTACAGCCAAAAACCCAAATTGTGGCCTTCTAAGCCAAATGAATCACCAGGTAAAAAGATGAAGACGAAGGCGAAGGGTAGGGTCGTACAAGCCTTTTTATAGGTTTCACAGTGCAGTCCAACAGATGTACCATAAATTTTGTCACGGCATACCTTAAGCATTCCTTTTCTAATATGGTAACATGTGCCGAGRTCTGAAGCTGGTGTCTAAGAGAGACATAGTACATCTGTGCATTCCTGAGAAGAGGCCTCCACTTTTAGACACTACAGAAACTTAGGAGTTTGGTAGAACTTAGAAAAATGTTTATTAAATAGTTGATGTGAAGAAACAAGTTGCAGWGCCGCAAGTTTCTGCCGCGGTGTGATTTATATTTRAGAATCATGAAGTCTCTCATTCAGCTGCATGGCTCCGACTCAGAACTYCAGTAAAATACCTGACTGTAATTTTTTCGGTGTGATTCAAAAACAAACAAAAAAAAAACACGCTGTCCTCAATTCTTCTTGTGGTGATATCACCCTGCAGAACAGCTGACAGTGATCCACAAATTACGCACAACTTTACGCAGCAACAAATCTATTGTCTGCATCTTGTGGAGCTGAGGGATTGATTTGATTTGATTTATTGATTTAACAGGAAAAGATTACTAAAAATCAAGCCTGACTCAGCATAATTGCTGT